GTTCAAATTGTCGGCTGTGATCTCTGAACAGGAATAGAAAATACTGATGTGTAATAATAATGCTAAGACTGAGGGGGATACAGATTCTGCACTTTTTCTCTAAGGCTCAGATGTTTTCACATTTGCATTACAAATTGATAGTTTTATAATTGAGCTGAAAGCTGCACGTAATCTCTACATTTGGATGCTACAGTGAGTGTCATGTCTTTAGCAATTTGTCTTGTGGGCAAAGAAAAAAAAATTCCATCTCTATGTTAAATGGGACCATAACGGAGTAATAATGTTATTGCTGCGAGCTATTCAAGCTGTGGAATGACTCCAACCATCTTTACAACAAACATTACAACAAAAGGAAACTTTTACTTTTTATTTTATGTGACCTGACTTTCCACTTATTTCTGATGTTGTTATTCTCTATTTACTTGATTTTCACTGAGATCCTGAGAGAGGTCTAACTGCACATGTGCAGATCTGTGCAATTCAAATACGCTGACTGACTCCTGACTGCAAGTTAAAATATAAAATACATACGTTAAAATATAAACCTCTCAACGTTTGCCTTTTACAGTAAAGTTTGTGAAAAGGACACAAGAAACAACATCTTTTTCTCGTGATATCCCTTAATTTTCCAATCACAGCTAAGATCAAAGCAAAAGTCCAACAGCACACCTATTTATGAAGCTCCTCTGTGTCTGCATCCAGGTACTCTGCAAAGGTTTGATGCCTCAGTGTTGAAAAGAATATCCGAAAGATTTTAACAATGTCACTTAGAGGGTGAGGCCTAGCATACACCCTATGAGCTAAGAGTAAACTGATAAAAAAGCTTTTCTGGATCAGGTTCCTGTTTTCCTTGACATATTTATACTTAGTCATCTTTTCTCTGATTTAGAAATGCTTTGTTTTCTTATCTTAAACAGCGGTGCTTTACTGTTCCTTTCCTGTTCATCCTTTATTGACAGAAGACAGATTAATGCTCAGTTTGTCTTTGATTGGTTCTGAGGTCCTGAGTTAGACAAATCTATGTCTGCTGGGTTGATAAGACTGAGTAGTCTAGGGTTACTGAACATCAGAAGCAAATTTGCAGTGAGCATTGAATGTCAAATTTTCTAACCTTCTATTTTTGCCCTTTTTCTAATGATTTTTAAATATTTTTCTGACCTCTGTGATGATTCCTCTAGTGTCCGTGATAAGCACTTTGAGTGGCTTTGTCATTGAAATATGCTTTAGAAATAAACTTACCTCGCCTAAAGATGCTCTCCTCTGTGGGTCAGTCTTATCTTCAGTGTCCTCCTCTAAGACTCAGTTTCTTTTAAGGTCACTGCAGATAGGAGTGACTCTTTTCCACCTCTATCTCTGCTCTTATCTGTTGTTGTGTTTTATCTGTTGGACCGGGGCTCCATCCTCATGCTTTTTAACCTTTCTCTACCTGTACAATCCACTCTAGTTTACTGTCACACCAAACTTGGCGTGTTTCTGCTTATTGCACTGAGCTGTTTGCAGAAATTTTTTTTTTTTTACTAAGTGAACAAAATCTCTTGGCTCAAGTGAAAAAGTGAAATCATACTCTCTTTATACTCATCTTTAGATTTTTTTGTCCTTAATTTTTTAAAGTTCAATATGGGCAAGTTTTTGTTTTCCTTCTCAGACTCAAAGACTCATCACACTCACTCTTGTCAAACCCTGTCACATGACTCTGTGGTGACTTTGGTGTTCCCCCTGTCTGCTGCATGTAGTCGAGCCTGGTGACAGAGACTTTTCAACAGTGCTTACTGGTGCAGGTAATAAAGTACAAATGGGAATTATATGGTGGTTGACATGCAGGTTTGCACAGATTGGGCCTAAAATGATTCACCTGCAATTTCATGTCTGTATTTTAAAATAATATGGACCTTAGAGAGTGCAGATGAGCTGTGCAGACACATCAGACTGGATTTAATCAAAACCCTGCTTTTTACAACTTGTTTAGTTTAAAAACAAAAATCTCGAGTTCTTTATTTTTTCTGTTGTAGGCCATCGTCCACCCTCTTGCTCCATTTAGTGACACCATGTAGTGACAGCTTTTAAACAAACATCATCTGAAGTGTTTTATTAACATGCTGGCTGTCATCTCTCTTGTCACATCTTTTGCACTCACTGTACTGCTCTCCCACGCCTGTGAGCAAATGTCAGAACAACCGACAAACACAACAGCTCATAACATTCAGACCAAGACAGGAGACTTCAGCTGCCACGACTCACTCAACTCACCCATACCGACGGGAGGGATTTAATGAATTGGTTTAACAACACTTGTTTAGTGGTCCCAAGCATCAAGACAGCTGAATGACAAAGTCTAACATCTAATCACCTGTGCTTTCAGACCACACATCTGCAGGCTCATTTCCCACGCCTGTAAACCAATCAATAATTCATTCATGAAGTCAGGAGAGGACAGGCATTTAGTCCCTGCCCCATTAATGCAGCTCTTTATGAGTCCCAGCTGACTTTTGTGATTTCCCTCAGTGTGTGACACCATTCAAAACCTCCCACAACAATGCACTCACACAATTTATAATCTAATATGAGGGAATAATGAATAGTCAGCCATTTGTAACCATCATCATTAAAATGTTTTGGTGATTGTTAAAGATTAATTGTTTCAGTAATCACTTTAGATTGATGTCATTTGCATACATATGGCAGTAATAGAATATTGGTCTTCCTCCCCTGAGTGTGCAAAATGCCAAACTGTTTTCTGATAGACCTGTTTTTCTTCTGCCAGGGAGTGTTTTTTTTATAGAGCCTGGGAGGTGACATTTACTTTTTTTTTTTTAATTCGCGCGTGCGATTCAGTATCTCGCATGTGTGTTTTAGTATATCCCAGGTGCGATTTAACTATCCGTTAATAAACAAAATCATTTACTTTGCTGTGCTTTAAGGATCCTGATGAGGTGTCTCCTACTCAAAACAATACCAAATGAGGCTTAGCTAGGTGTTCACATGCCAGGCTCTGAGTCAGTGGTTAAACAGCATGGATACATCAGGTAGTAAACAAAACTTTGACAAAGAAAGGATGTAAAAGAAAAGAAACTTTCAACACAGAGCTGTAAAAGTGACGTCTTATTCCCCCTGGGATCAATATAAGTTTGTTGAACATCTGTTTGATCACATAAATAAATCAGCAGTTTAAAAATAAAAACAGAATAAAAATGACAAAAAAAGAAATCTATACGGACACTCCAGTTTTTTATTTGCAACCTAACATAAACCTGTTTTCAGATCTGGAAATTTTAAAGGCTCCTCCCTTAAAAAGTTTCCTAAAAAGTCTGCCCCCTTACAGTGTGATGTCTGTCCTGTAAAACAGGGGTGTGTGTGGGACTGGGGGATCTCTGGATAATAGACATGACATCAAATAGACTGTGGTGTAATGTTTTATTAAGTAATCCATTAGAAATGTTTATCCTTTGATGTTACTTGTGGTTTCAGTCGATACCCACATCCAGCCTGTTTCTTTATTCTGAGTATCAATTATTCTACTTTGTCTGTTTTTGACTTGTTTGAAATAAGCTAAAAGAAAATGCAACACAGGGAGATAATCAGAGCTTTGGGCAGGTTTAAATTACAGTCATTGACTGCTCTGGCCTGTAGGCCTTGATAAAAGTCATTTTTTAACGAGCTACAATTTATTTTCCTGCCTCATGTTCTCCCTGTTTCCTGTTTCAAGTAAATAATATTTATGCCACATCTCACATCTCCTGTATGATGGCTGATGCAGAAATAGATACACATTATGCAGAAATGAGCTCCACATTAGCTGTAACCCATCATGTTATATCTGATTTAAAATGCATAGTGTGGTTACACGTCCCTTACATTTAGCTGTTTTATTCAGCTGTTGGGTGATGCAAAAAGATGACAATAATGATTCTTGCAGAATCCTCAGGTTTCCTTTTGCGACCCCTTTTGATTTGGTTTTTATTTTATTTTTTTATTTTAATTTTTGCTGCTTCCTTAGTTTGACACACAACAGTCTATTATATTTTTTATCCCCTAAATAATTAACTTAAAGGCATAATTGACAATTTGAGAAGCAGTTGAAAAAAACTGAGCTGTTGAGGCCGATTTGAAAAAAGCATCCCACCCCCCACACACAAACCTCTCCCTTCTTCTTCGATAACTCCTCCCCGAACCCGTATCGCCGTCCCCACGACACACCCCCTCTGGCAGAGCAAGAAGCCGTCTGGCAGAGGATTCTACGCTAGCTTCAAATAGGATTCACCATGTCGGGTTGTTAGTGACTAGCGGCAGTAAACGCCAGCTCTGCTAGCGAGCAACGTCTGCAGCTGCCTGGACAGTTACCATGTTGACATTGCAGAGACTAATAAGAGTTATTTATGTAACATGTGCCACAATGAAAGGCAAACATGAGCATTTTCCACCCACTTTTGGTGGTGGGGCAAGCAGAAGTGTTTTTTTTCCATCCTTCTCCATCAGAGCTCTTGTAGCTAAGCTGCTACGCTACTTTTAGCCGCTCAGAGGGGATGAGTCGGAACCACGGGAGAGGGGTGCGTCGAATACAGCGAGGTGCCTTTAACTTTTAATTGGTATCTTACAGCTAAGCTCTACATGTCAGTCATTTGGCTGCTTTTCTCCTTTAAAAAAAATAGATGTCTGATTAGTTATCTTTTTCATTCAAAGATCAGACATGGATGGGGAGAGAAGTTGGCTGAAGGCAATAAACTCCTCTCCTCTGTGGGTGAAAAGCAAATATGCTGAGATTTTCTTGATCGTACAGTCCCTTAAATATCTGCCTGACTGGATGTGTGTCTGGTGGTCTGCAGCTCCTCAATTAAGCAGCTCTCGGCACAATCCACTCAAGATAGCACTGACCGGCACCTGAAGAGGCCCTCCCTTTGATCATCTCTGTTTCCTGATTGATGAGCGGCTTTTAACCTTTCACAGCTCGAGCACCCGCAAAGCCCCACCATTCACCACCTGGTGTGGATCACACAGATACTGATCTATGAGGAGTAGTGAGATGAAGAGGCAGGGAACGTCTTCAAGAGTTGAAATTGACTTTTCATGAAGGTGGAGCGAAGGAGCAGGTGAGCCTCACAAGCACTTTCCAGCAGCTTCAGAGGAGGGGGGAGGTTGCCGAGGAAGGTCAGGTGATGATAACTGACTTGAGTATCCTCAAATAATCCCTCTTTCTGCCTCTTTTGTGGGTTAAAGGTTTTGCACACTGCAGACTTCTTTTTGATCACATTGAGCACCACAGGTTCTTTCTGCACCTCAGAGTCAGTGTAGTAGACTATAAGATCAATGGACTGGATATCAATGTAGACTGTGAAGGTTAATAGTGTATCCATGCCTAAAACATTCAGCACCCCACTTACTGACAATACAGAAAGCTGCTTGTTGTTTCTTATCTGAGTTGCAGAGAGTTGTGTGTGATTGTGCGTGTGACAATCATAGTTACCAAGGTGATTGCAATGATTGACAGAAGAAATTATAAATAACTGTTGAAGAAGAAACTTCTTAAGTTTACTGAATGTCCATGCACAGCAATCCATTAGTCTAACTTTAAATATATAAGCCCTTATTACACAAAGATTCCACAATAAATGTGTTTTGGTTTTTGTTTTCATAAATGAGAACCCAGTTTTTTCAAACTTGGTTGATTTGTTTACTTTTTTATTTATCAGTGTTCAAAAGTTGGTTAACTTTAGTCAAATAGCCAATTTTTGTATTTTTTTTCATAGGCTTCTAACATTTTTGTTTCTCCTTTAACAATGAAAACAGGATTTATTTTTTATTTATTTTTCGCTTACACTTACCCATGTATAAATGCTGTCAAGAGCATGCCAAACCTGTAGGTGGCAGTGTCGCAAGAAGCTCAAGCCCACGTTAGCCAATCTGAATCCCGCAAAGCAGCAACAACAACTTCAACTTTGAGCACTCAGCCAACTCTGCTCCTCTACAGTACAGCACTTGTATTTGCAAACGCAAACAAATATAAAGGGATTGCACCAGCATAAATTCGACTGATATTCTGCATGCATCCATGATCATCATAGACTGTTAACATAGACTGTAGACTGTAAACAACATCACATTTAACCATCACACCATCTGCTGTCGGCTACCCAAATCTCAGTTTTTCTGTTTTCATGCAAATATGCAAACAGAGTTTTCCAAAATCTCCACTTCGGCCGGAGTTTTTAAAACGCATCGTTTTCAGGGGCGAATTTTTCATTTGTGTCTAAACAAAGGGTGCAAACGATGGTTAATGTCTGTTTTTAGAAATAACTGGGTACGTATAAACGGGGCCACAGAGGGTAAGCAGTACCACTATCATAATAAATATAAGATAGGTCTACCATTCTTTCATATTGTATGTTGTGCTTACCCTCTTATTCATCAGACAGGAGGAGGACAGCTCAGTTTGACTTGTTATATTAAAAAAAGTAGTAAACCCTCTGCTTCATGTTATGCAAATATAAACTCCTTTAACACAGAGGTGCAATTTTAGTAAAAAGCGGAGCAGAAGTGGACTAACTTGTCTTCAAAATCTAAATCATTTGCGCAGCTTTTTCCAAGTCTTTCAGTATTTACAACTGACGGATGGAGGGAGATGAGTAAAATGAGGCATAAGTGTAAGACAGAGAGAAATACAATGGGAGGAGATGAGCTTTGTCTGCCTAGCTGAATTTTATCTGACTGTGTTTATCTTGTCCTGAGTTTGCAGTGTTTCCTCACACCAGCATGTTTAACTACCTCTGATAATGAGAACAGCGTCAAACTCAGTAATCGAATTAGTGCTCTCTTTATCTCTGAGCCCGTGTGCGCTCAGCCCTAAAAACACTCAACACACAACTATTCCTCTGCTAATTGACTCACAGCGGCTCCCTGTTTCACCTCCCACATTAATGAAACCAGCTCCTAGCCTGTCTCACCTGTCAGCGGCTACTATCTTTTTCATTTTACCCTGAGGTGATGAAGATTATATCATTTCTGAGTAAGAGATATAGAGAGGGAGGGAGTATAAAGAAGGCTGGAATCCTGTGTGGACAGCTTAAGTGTTTATTCAATAACAGGATTTAGCTGCAGGTGTTTAAAAATGGAGACAGCAGCCAGTTAAAGCTTGCTGTGATTTGTTCAGTTTCTCCTGCAGGCTGTAATTGAATTACAAATTAATTGAGGAAACATGTTTGACCTTGACTTATGCTGTGCTCTCATTTCATCCACATCCACGATTTAGGTTGGGATTGATTTTCTCATGTACAACTCAATCAGTCTGAGCTTGCCCAGGTTTCTTTTCATGCTCCACAGTTTGTCAAAATACTTTCAGATCAGCTGTTTGATGAAACATCAACCTTAGATATCAAAAAGTATCGGTATTGGTGTTAGCGATACTGGCCCCTGTAGATACTATCAATACCAAATCTTGCAGTACCACGACGCCCACCACTACCATCTGGTTCTGCCTCTACAGAAATGTTCCTGTGACTGAAGAACAGTTACGACCCACAGGCAGTTAGGTTACTAAACTCCTGACAGTAGCACTGGACAACACTGCTGCCGAACTATGCAACTGCCATGCATGTCAAACATAATCTATTACTTATTTCCTGTGCATTACCTCTGCTCTAACTGTGCAATAACCCACTAAACTGTGCAATATTATCTGTGATGTGCAATATGACAATTCATACCTCATTTATCCCACTGAATTCTCCCCCATTGCATACGTTCACACTCTGATAGCAGCTTCTTCATTGCTTGTGCACTTTGTCAATATTGCTTTCATACTTTTTTTATATTTTTGTATTTTTTTTCTATTGTATTCTTCTTAGTACTTTATTGCATGTTATTTGTACTTCTTTGGGTCGAATGGTCCTTCTCATTCAGGGCATTTCATTGCATTGTTGACGATGTTTAACCTGCATATGACAAATAAACCAATCTTGAATCTTGATGTCTGAACTGAAGGGTGTTTCCTAGATCCTGACTTTTATTCATCTCCAGCTGCTCATGTTTTGTCAGTGTATCAGATATATCTCAATATTATTTCCAGTACAGGTGGCCCATTTTTTTTCTCTCTAATATATAACAGTTTGAACAGTCAAAGGTTCACACTCAGAGATTGACTTTTACTGCAGTCCTTTGTGTGTGAGAAATACTTCGACTCAGGCTAAGTGCAAAAGAATCTCCCTGAGCTCCATTTCATTGCATGTGTTAAGCCAAGGATTTTTTTAACAAGACAAGTGCTTTTAAACTTGAATTTGTCCTTCAGTCGATTGGAGTTCACTCTATCGACCAATATAACAGCATCACAGCCTGAAGCTGGATCATAAACAGTGGGAACATGAAGTCACTCAAGCCAATAGTGTGACCTCCAGAGTGACTCATCCAGGCTTGATGGCTAAACTCTGGGAAACCGTTCAGAAGGTCATAGATTGCAGGCCTGCAGATTTGGATAGTTGAACCCAGATCAACGATGTATCCTTGGATGGAAATGTGCTCAGACTACTTCTATACAACGACCAGTCAGGAGAGGCCAGAGTGTGCTGTGTTGGTCAGCTTCAGTATTGTTTTTGATTATGAATATAAAAAATATATGACTGTGATTTGAGGTGAAACATTTCCTTTCCTCTAAAACCACTTTTGGCCAAGCAGCAGATTTTCGTGCAAACCGAGCTGAACAGTGTGAACGGCAACCTACATGGGAAACATCTTCAGCTGTTTATGTTTGATTACAAATCTGTGTATATGTTTTTTATTTGAAAAATTGTGAGTGAGAGCTAAACCTTTACTTTCCTTACAGCGAGAGTGAAGTCAGAATATGAAATTACAGTCCTTATAAGATCTCAGTGTGTCAGGAATATTGTCAGCGGTGGGCTTCTCAGTACTCAAAGATGCAGACTGGAAACACACTTTTTTAATCTTTTTGTATGTGTGTTCAATACTGAATTGTGTACCACAACTTATAAAGCTTGATGGCCATAGGTAAGAATGACTTCCTGTGAGGCTCTATGGTGCATTTAGGGGGAATGAGTCTAGCACTGGATGTGCTCCTGTGTTTAACCAGCATGTTATGGAGTGGGTGGTGGATGCTGTCCAAGATTATATGAAGCTTTGACAACATCCTCTTCTCTGTCACCACCATCATACAGTCCAGCTCTACTCCCACAGTGTCACTGGCCTTGTGGGTGAGTTTGTCAAGTCTGTTGGCATCTGCCACCCTCCCCACATAACACATCAAGCTGCACTCCCAAAACTCTGCTTGGCTCCTGGCAAGCCCCGTTAACTCATCCATCTTATTTGCTAGAGATCTCACGTTGCCCATAACGAGAGGGGAGAGACAGAGCTTAAACCTTATCCCCATAAGTCTCAGTCATCTTGATCCTGCTGAGTGAGTTGTGAATGTCCAGAGTTCTGCAGGAATATCCAGCCGTTTGGCTGACATGCTGACCGGCTTTATTTCAACCAGCTGGTCACAAGTGTAAACAAAGTGACGTTGCTGTTGGAGTAAAAGCCAGCTGTCAAGCTTAGGAAAGCGCAAGAAAGAAAATTAAGGAAAAAGTAAGACAGAGATCAAAAGTGACAGCTGTATAGAGAGCTGTATTCTTGATTTCCTTAAATTATTCATCCTGGTCATTTATTTATATAAATAAAGAAATACACTAGAGTGCAAAGTGTTTGTTTCCTGGCTGTTAATACAAGCTCAGTCTAATGAATGAGTATACATTGACACTTATATCTAACACAAATACATAAACAATAAACTACAGAACAACATGTGAAGTGTTTATGTAAAGCATCTTGGGATAACAACTGTTTATTTGGCACTATATAAATAAAAACTGATTGATTGATTGACTAAAATCTACAGTATAAAAATTGTCAATCTTGTTTTTGATGGTCCTGTTTGCGATTTAATGTCTTAAAAATGTGTCAGTATGAATTTCAGTGGATTTTATGAATATGAAAAAACTCCCTACAGGGGCTTTAAATCACCTACAGTGCTCAGCATAAATGAGTGCAGTCCTTCAGACTTGTCAGAAAACCTTTAGTTTCTTTCAAAATCAACATTTTCTATGTCAGACTACACAACAAAATACTTTTCTAAATGTAGGCCATTGATAGCAAACACGTTAAGGCTGTTAAGTTGCATACAAAACAGTATTTTTTTTTAAATTTAAAATCAGGATGCAAAAATGAGTATACCCCAATCAAAGTTCTGCGTGCAAAGCTAAATTTTGGTTACCATATCACCCCTGTTTTCATCTTAAGGTTAATAAAATGTTATGTTAAACTCAGCTTTGTCAAAACTTTAGAAATTGTACTTTTGCTCATCTACATATTGAGTATTACATTACTTTTAACAGGGGGTTCACTAACTTATGCTGGGCACTGTATATCTGCACAACAAATCACAAACACACACTCACAAAAAAAGTGTGTATGTACACAATGACATGTTGGGCTTAGCTCTGCACCAACACAATAATATCAAACCAGAAAGACTGAAACACAGTTTACTGGTTTAGATTTTTTTTTCAATTATGCA